CTATATTCATTCGTATTACACGACCCTTAGGCCCACACTTGTTCACAATACTCATTCAAATATATGGCACAAGTGCCCATACCCATTCACAATACTCGACATATATGCTTCATTCTATTACACGACATTTATTATATAATCCACATTCATCAGTTTCAGGTAAACATACATTCTTTCATCCACGCACATAATATTCACATCTCACGGCACATGGCCCACATCATATTTCACAACCATTCCCATTAACACATATTTCCTACCTTTTAACTCAGCCATATCACAATATCCAACGAAATAAACGGCTAATCACACATATTGAGATAGAGTAGAGTCTCCCCTTACCTTGGATTGAAGACTCACACTCGAATTCAACCACGGAAGTGATCTCTACATAATTTCGGCCTAAATGCATGGAAGAACTCCATGAGAATCCAAGGAAACCGAGAAACAGAGAAAGGGGATGAAAAATGAAAATCCTAACCATTAAAACTCATCTCCAAGCATTCCCCACACGGATTCAACCTTCAATCTAGCTCCTGAACGGCTTTGGAGGTAATTTAATCGGTAGAATAGGATTTTTGGTTGAGAGAATCGAAGAGATTTGGAAGGGAAGGTGAGAAATAACCTTTCTTGAACCTTAACCCCCTTTAAATCCTCTCTGGTTGTGACACTCTCGCTAAAGCGAGATATTCTCACTACAGTGAGGTTCCCTCGCTGCAACGACTCCCTCCCTCGCTACAACGAAAAACTTAGACTAAACTGCACTCTGGTTTCTGCAGAATCTCGCTACAGCGAGACTGCACCCAGAAATGCAGCCCAAACTATGGCTTTGTCGCTACAGCGACAAGGCGACTATTTCATCCTTCTCTCCCAGTGCTTTCTCACTACAGCCAGAAAGGCATAGTTTCATGCCTCACGCCCAGGGGCCTCTCGCTACAGGGAGAACCCTCTTACTACATCGAGAATGCCCTGCAGCAGCATTCATACTTAGCCTGTTTTCAGCCTAATCAATCCAATCCAGTTATATATATATATATATATATATATATATATATATATACACACACACACACATTATACCCACAAACATCATCATTACGCATTCAAATGCAAATTACACTTTCACATTTACACGTACATATAAACACATTACATATACCAATAATAATTAATATTATAAAATTCAGAGCATTATAGGAGATGGGGTTCATTATAAAAATTTGCAATGCTTAATCCTGATCAAACAATCTGGGAAAAAAATTATAAACATTGATAGTAATTTCAAACATAGTATTTCTTAAAGGAATCTTGCTAATGAAGGTCTTGCCTTCCCCTTAGAGGTGGTAAGCTCAACAATGGCTTTGTTTTTTCCTGAGTCACTTTTGTTAAGTTCTATCTCAGAAAGCTCTAGTGCTCTCTTTTCTTCTTGTTTGATTATGCCTTAAGCCTCTGCCAAGTTTAAAATTCATTCATGTCACTTAATCTTCTTGCTTGTTTATTCTCATTGATTATTACAGATTGCTTCATTATACGTAGGGCTAAAGTTTTTCTTTTTCTTTCAACTTTTGTCAATTTTTGTATTAATTTTATTATTTACAGTTATGTGTTATGTATTAAAATAAGTATGCAAATATGTTGTGTATGCAGGTCATGTGATTGCTATTCGAGTGTTGGGTTGTTTATTGCATCCACTTTGGAAGATTTTCTTGATGTTGCAATTGAACGAAGCATGCATTTAGTTACATAACTTAAATAAACATTTATTTAATAAGTTTCTTTTACATAAAGACTTATATCATAAATTTAACTATAACTTACTAGAATAAGTTAAAAATAATTTATTTTGATATATTATACAAAAAAAAAATATTAAAATAAGATTAAAGAAAAGCTTATGAGAGTCATAAACTATTTTTTTAGCCAGTCCATAATCAGAAAATCATATATGTATCTTTCATACATATTTCATATATTTGGAACCAATGATAAACCATAAGAGTGGTCTTTGTTATAAGCTAGAATTCACATATATGCGGCAACGTATTATATATAAACAATGAATGTGATTTAAAATTAGAACATTTAAATTAAATATTCTAAAACAAAGTCAATAAGAAAATGGAAACTTTATATAACCTTGTGATTGCATTACAACTTCCAAGGTAGACTAAATCAATTTCTGAAAATTTAATCAACCATAGAGGACCCAAACCAAATTAGGCTAATGATTTCAACTTTCAAGTTCACGAAGTTTAGTATAAGGAGAATAAAAGGGTAAGATTAATTGTATCATTCTGATAATGAAAAATCAAATTCAAAAAACAATCACTTGTCTTTATCTCTCTAAATAGAGGAAAGTATTACTTATTTATTGTGTTTAGCAACACGCCTTCCTTGGCCCTTCTTGGGTTGTCCTTTTCCTTGCCGCTTCAACATTTCAAGCTTCGATAGGTGTCTATAAAGAATAAGAATAGATGATAAATGTTCTTAAATCAGTGGAAACCAATGTTAGATAACTAGTAAAAACTACCACATATTCTAAATGTGATTTAAAGGGAAAATTTCCCCATTGATATAAATTAGCATTACTAGAATGCATTTGATGCAAGAGAATAGAGACAAATTCACTGTGACAATCAGAAACATACTCTACTTGATTTATTAACATAAGAAGTACACTAGTGATTAGAGACCTACAGAAATATTCATCAACCACACCAAAAGGATAATTAATAAATCTAAATTTATTTAAAAGTTTAAGCTTGAATTTTTTATTTAATAGGCCAAATCGTCAATAGTGATGGATCATTTCCTACTAAAAATTTAAATGTATCTTTATTTTTTATTAATTTAATATTACAAATTTATAAAAAAATTATTTCTAGTGAAAAAATTATTTTTAGTGACTAATCACAAATATTACACACACATATATATACACATACACACACACACACACACACATATATATATATATATATATATATATATATATATATATATATATAATGCTTGATATGATGAAAAAAGAAATAATTTTTAAAAATATTCATGTTTAAGAGTAGTTTTTAAAAAACTGACTTTATGATTTTGTGTTTTTTTTTTAACTATGCTACATGGGGTTTTTTATTCATATCAAATATTTAATTTTTGTCCAATTTGATCATTTTATAATTTACTCAAAATGTTTTTATCTTGTTTGCAATAATCTTTTAATTATAATTGATCATGTAAATCATTAACATGAGATTGTTCTAACTTAATTATTAATTTTGAGTTTAAGTATGCATATATTATTTTACTTGAGTAAAATTGTATGAAAGATACTTGTAATTCAAACTAGAAAAAAAAATTTAAACTTTAAAAATACTATTACAATAATTAATTTTTAAATGCTACCAGATTATGTTTGTTAACTAAATTATCTCTAGCAACTTTATACTTTCTTTTAATTTTACTTTTAAATTAAAATGGGTCTTCGTTAACTTGATTTTTTTAAAACTAATTTATGTTTATAAAATTTCAATTCAAAATATTTAATATTTATTGTTTAACATTTTATATAAGGTAACAAGATAAATTTATTAAATATAAACGTAAAGATTCTTTTGACAGCTTATTTATTTAATATAAAATTAAGTTAATAACAGTTTTAATTTTAAAAATTTAGAATAAAAAAGTGAATAAAAAGTAAAATCATTGCAGAAAGAATGAGTATATTTTACATATTATTTTTATATAATTTTAATTTTAAAAATATATATGAAAAATCAGTAGTTCCACTAGATGCTTCATTCTCCATATCAAATACTTTAAGTTAAGGTTGATAATAAGATTTTTTTTAAAAAAATATTATGACTTTTTGAATAATACATATAAATAAATAAAAAATTGTTATCATTTAGAAAAAAAAAATGTATGGTCACATTTTTGGAATTATAGATATGCTTATAATATATTAAAGATGATAATAAACATACAAAACAATTCTAACAAATTGAAGAATATTAAATTGTCAAACAAAGTACATTCAAAATAGTTAGTATCACAAAATAAATTTAAAAACTGAAAAATAAATTATACACAAAGTAAATGAATTATAATTAAAGTAAAAATCACACAAAGTTTGCAGTAGAATCCGTCATAGCCCTATCTATGGGTTCAGTTAGTCGTAACAAAATAAACTATGAAGAACATGATAAATAAACACATAATCACAAAGGAAAATTCAAACAAAAGAAACCCAAAAAGGTAAAAGATAAAGAGAGTTCTCGTTCTCCAAAGGACGCTCAATCACTTGCTTAGACTCTAAGAAAAAGCTCGTCATTCTTGCCAATGGTCTCCAATGACTCTCAAAGATGAGTTTGATTAGAATTAAGAAGAGGAAGAAGGCGTATAGAGAAGTCGAAATGTATCAAGTGTGGAGCATAAAGCCTCTTTATATAGGTTGTGACCTGAGTTTCCAGTCGGTTAAGCTCTATCTTTTCAAGTCAGTTTTATCCATAATCAAAATTGCTCTAAATCTTCTTATCTAAGTTTAAATTTTTTAAATTCAAAATTCAAACTCAGTTTCATATACCGCTGTCAAAGACTAAAAATATCTAATTTTTATTTAGAATATCTCCATAATGCACTGATAACAATTTCTAGCTAAACTACAATAATTAATAACATAATTAGTGTACATATATATAAAATAGAGTATAAGTTTATAAACATAAGTCATAAAATATATTAAAATATGAATTTATCAATTAGTATTTTTATATATAATATACGATATTAAAATAATATTAATTCATTAAATAATGAAAGGTATGTATCTATTAAACATAATTTTTAATGTTTGGATATAGTTCCAGCATGTACAATAAAAAATATACGTAGTCCCCGTGTAAAGGGAAAGACAAAGCTGAAGATTTTCTATATAAGCTTGGATATCTAAGTCATGTAACACACAAGCAAGGCTTCTGAAATTCCCAAGGGCCAAAAAATACAAAATGAAGAGCAAGTTGCTTTTGATTTTCCTACTCTTGGGAATTCTTTACTGTGAAGCACAGAATTTCATTTCATACGATTATTTAGAACTAGCCTTGAGGTGGCCAAACAGCTACTGCTTGACACATGATGGCGGTTGTAGGGAAAGAGTGCCCCAGTTTTTCACTATTAGCTACCTTCGTCCCAGGAAAAGGGGAGGACCTGATCTTCAAAACTGTCCCACGCCGTTTACTCTGCCAAATAGCACTGTTAGTATCCTTCAAATTTGATGCAATGAATATCCCTTTCAGTTTCTAAAACTGTACAAAATTATATTTTAGTTCTTAATTTTTTTAAAACAATTCGATTTATTTTTTCATTTTTTATAATTTTATATTAAAATTAGCTAAATAAATGTCATTTTGTATAGTCAAATATTAAAGAAAAAATTTACAATGTTAAATACTAAAGTTATTAATACTCATATATGTATATATGCAGATAGAGGCAAACAAATACGACCTGCTCAAGTTTTGGCCTGATTTAAGAACTGATAATTTTATAGAGAGCAAGACATTATGGAAGGACCAATGGAAAAGGTTTGGATCATGCTATACTTTGACGCCAGATGACTATATTGTTTACGCACTCAGCAGCAGAAAGAAAAATGAGCTGAAGAAAATCTTGACAAATGCAGGTTAATATATATTGAATGTTATTCAAATTCATGCAGTAAGGGAAAAGGAACAACAATTTAACTTGAAATGTTATTTGAAGCTTGAGTTGTTTTTTCTCCAAGATTCAAGAATGAGTTTTGTACTAAATATTTATACAAAGGTCATTCTTGAAATTTTCACTCACAATTTTAAGCAACACAAAAGTGACCCCTAAATATGAAGGCAGAAAAAATGTAACTTTTTGTTATTATGATATCTCTTTGTTAGGTATTGTTCCCAATGGAATGCAGTATCCACCCCAAAGGATATTACAAGTTTTCAGAAAAGCTCTAGGTGTCATTGTGGATATAGTCTGTGAGGCAGATAGAAGTGGAAATATTTATCTTGCGGAGGTCCATCAATGTATGGATTACTATGGAACAACACCCATAGACTGTGACAATCTAGCAAAAGGGTGTGACGATGAGCCTATTTATCCCTATATGGGATACGAACCTGATAAAGATCTCAACTAGTAAAACCTTGCAAATGCAGTCTTCTAATTGCATGACCCCAAGATTAACTATATATGCAAAATAAGGGGTCACATATGTATGCTAAGAAAATAATCAATAAATATATGAATAAATTTCAGATAGTGTGTCCAAATGTATGCACAACAAATTTTACCGCACGATGATCACAAGTAATTTGTAGAAAAAGTAGTAAAGATAAGGTTTTCCCAATCTTTAACTTGTACCTGTCAAGGACATCACTAGCTTTGTCTAGGACTTGACAGACAGACACAGGTTACTCACACCGTTACTGCCAATATTGCTTTTAACGAAAATGAAGAGTTAAAAAAAAAAGACTCTTAATCATTGTCTAAGTGCAACCAACAAGGCCTTAGACAATTCATAAATAGCTTAATTTAAGTGCGTTAACCTGAATTAAATTACTGTGTATAATAATAATAATATACTATCTATTTTGATAATTTTTTTATTTCAAAAGAAATTGCCTTTAGACATCAATTAAGATATATTTGACACATACTTAAAAATAAATTAAACTCTCATTTTAGTCTCTAAAATAATAAGCATTAGGCATTTTAATCTCTAAAATTTTAAAAATGTCACGTTAGTCCGTGATTTTCATTTCTGTTAGACATTAAAGTCCTTAAACTTAGACATTGTTAATAAACATTAATAAAATACTGACATATCACATTAAATAACATGTATGATTAATTATGTAGCAAAAACGACGTTATATGTGGTATGGTATATGTTTTTATTTTATTTAATCCTTGATATTATCACTCATTAAGCATTTTAGTCCTTAAAATTGTCATTCACAGACATTTTATTCCCTAGTTTTTAAAACCTTTCATCTACTTATCTTTCTTCTTCATTCTCCATCTACATTCTTTGTTGGCAGTAGAGGCATTGTTTTAGACGTTGTTCAGACAAATTTCAACCTTATGATTTTAATTTCTACATATGAGTTTTGGGTATACATAAAAAAATACGATCAAATATTTCCTTCAACAGTTACTTCAAGGGCGAAAATCAGTCTTGAATTTGGCTATTCCAAGTTGCATTTCAGTTTGTCTTGAATGGTGGTGGTACGAAATCATGATTTTTCTCTGTGGACTATTGATTAATCCTCATGCAATTGTTGCTTCCATGAATGTTCTAATTCAAACAATTGTGTTGATATACATTTTTCGATATTCCTTAAGCTTTGACGTTGATAGTATGCCCATCATTGGGCTCTGTAAGCTTGAAAATTATCCTCAAACAATAGTTTCTTGGGGGAGGGGTGGTTTGAAGGGAATGACAAGGCCTAAGTTTGAAGCAAACATAAACTTAGGTTTTCAGTAAAGAATGCACACGGTGGCTAGCGATAATAGTTTTTAATGATAGTGAATGAAGAAGAAGAATGAATAGATGAAATGTTTTAAGAACGATGGACTTAAAAATGTCTATCGTTGACAATCTCAAGGACTACAATGTTTGATGAGTGATAATCTCAAAGCTTAAAATAAAATGAAAACATATATCATACCACGTATGTCATCATTTTTACAATATAATCAATCATTAAGTGTCATTTAATATGATTTGTTAACATTTTGTTTCTGTCTATTAATGGTATTTGAATTTATAAACTTAAATGTTTGACAAAAATGAAAGTCAATGACTAATATGATATTTTTTAAATTTTAAAGACAAAAATGCATGACACTTACTATTTCACAGACCAAAATAAAAGTTTAATTTGAAAAATATTACATAAAAGGAAAAAGAGATTTCAACCCTTTGCACACACAAAGTGGATGCACTAAATGGCCTACCGCTATAGTTTGATAAAACTCGGTAAAAAAAAAGTAATTTTCTTATTTTATGAAACAATAATATGGCATACGCTACTTTCCATTCTCATTATAGCTTTTTATTTACCACTTTTTATTTGGTCAATTTGTTTATTTACCACTAAATGTCATATTGTGCAAGTGTTTGCATCACGTATTCCACAAGAGGTTGTAATGTTATAATTCAGTTGACTCGGAATAAATATCCTCACAATCTACGCATCATTGTTTGGCACAAAAATGGTTATCATCATTTGTGGGCACAAAAAGTTTTGTGGAGCAAATATGCAATTATAAAGTGATAGGTAGGACGTAGTAAAATAATGCTAAAGCGTAACATAGGAAGAAGAAATTTTGGACCCTTTCATATACTTAAAAGTAACATTTAGAAAAGGGAATCATTCATTTTCAAATAAACTACTTTTTCTGAAAATGAAAATCTGAGGAATAAAATTCCTAAGAAAAATTATAGAATATGTTTAGTTATAATTTAAATTTCCTTTATATGATATACCTAATAAATGTGAGATAACTTTACTTTTACCTATGACGACAAAACTTTATCCTTAATTATTCATACATTAACATTCCTAATAATATTTCATTCTCAAAATATTATTGTTTAAAAGTATTTATAAACAACTTATGAAAAATAATTTATAACTTTCATCAAATTTTTATAATTTATTTTAATAAATTTCTTGAGATAGGACCGATTTAGATAAACTTCTAAAAAAAATTATAGAAGAAACAAAAAACAGAATTAAAAATGAATAAAACATTTTTATAAGTTAAAAATAACTTATTTCTTCAAATTTTAAAAAAGTTAGAAGAGAGAACCTTTTAAAAAATAAAAATTATTTTAACTTTATAAGAAAAAAGTCATTTTTATATTATTTTTTTATAAGAACTTTTCTATGAACTTATCCAAATTAGACAATATCTTATTAAAATAAACTATTTTAACTTATCCCAATAAACTTTATCTTTAAATTTAAGACAAACTATCATTTTAAATAAAGTGCTTAAATAATCATTCAAACACTTTTGAGCATGAAAACTTTTATTCTCACTTTGCCCGATGTATTAAAATATTCCTTGCACCAAACGTCAACAAAAGAGGTGCAAGTCTCTCCACTGCATGGATAACTCAGCTGCCGATATTCAGAACATCAAAGGACAACTTCATCTTATATCTTCAAGAACTGACATTCTGAATTCTCTCTCATCCATGCAATTGCAAGACAAAGTAACATGTTTGAATTCATGTTTAAATGGGCATTATTCTATATTTACTTTAACACTGCTAGTTATAACTTTGAGAGTTAAATTTACATTTACAAGTTTTTTAATGTGTTTTCAAAAACAACTTAATCTTGATATCAAGAACAAAAATTGCAAAATTCTTTAGATTCCATATATTTGGGTGAAGTACACAGGCAAATCAATTATATTTATATGACAAAAGAAAGAGAAAGCTTTGGTTTTGTAAGGATCACAGTCCAAGGCAAAATGCACATTAAAATTAATCTTCCTTGACCAAGACAAAATTTTCTGATCACTGCACGACCCTTGCAAATGTCATTCCTAATAGTTTCATACTGGCTGAACTGAGCCGAATTTACAAAAGCTGGGGAATCATACATTTTCCGCAGCATCCTTTTGTGATTCCCGTGCACTCCGTGTAGCAGCCAACCTCTCCGCAGCCAACCTTTCTTCCAGCGCTCGAGCACCTCTTTCTCTGCATGAACAGTGGTAAGTTATTTTACGCAGTACAATAATTACAATAAGAATGACACAACAATTGTTACTGGTTTTGATAAAAGCTGAAAATAATACTAAAATCTGTAAACAGGGAATTTGAAAAGAATCATCCCCCCTTTCTTCCCCAAAGAGGATTTAGAAAGAATTCTTCCATTTAAAAAATTATAAAAAAATCTGTCAAATTAATGCTCCACTAATTAGTCAGAAATAATGCTCCACTATTTAATCAAAATTTCCTTTTATCAGACAAAATAAAACAAGAAAAAGAAAAAACAAAGCAAGCACTCAGAACATTTACAAACAACTTACCTGTTCTCTATTTAAGCGAATAATATATCTAAAAGAAAGCCAATAAAGTAACTAAATAGGCAGAAATTGACCGGACAATTGCTCCTCAATAGTTAATTTGTTTAATTGTTTCCTTGTAACATGCTTAACAAATGTAATTTCTATTTGACAACTTAACAATATATACAACTGATCCAATTAAAACTTAAACAACTGCTATGTTGAATTACCGTCTCCTAGATGCCTCAATTGAGTCTGAACCTGGTAAAGGCTCACTTTCCAGAGTGTAATCTTGACCATCATTAGAAGCATCAGATCTTCCACAGAACATCCGGTGAAATATTGATGCAATAGGGTCTATTCCCGGTCTACAAGACAGAAAAACAAAAAAAAAAAGAAAATTCTTAATATTTTGAAAGATGATAATACAGCTAACCATTTAATTTTCCTGCAAACTAAGAGAAATTACCTTAAGAATTCTGGGAAAAATGTGGAGAAAGCAAAATCCTCACTTGGGTCACCCCTAAGTTTTGTTTCTGGTTTCCTTTGCCAGTATCTAAGGTAAATCCAGCTTATATATGTGCCAGATATAATGGTTGGAAGATATGTTGTAGCCACTAGTGTCCAAAAGCTAATAGCAATGGCAAGCAATAAAGTGATAGATGGCAACCACTGAAGAGATGAAGTGGCAAAAGATTTAGGGCATTTGCATAAACCTATTACTGTTGTGACAAGACGAATTAGAAAAAACAGGGGAAGAGTATCAAACCATTGTTTTTATTTTGATGAAAGGAAGTTCTTGATCTGGTATAATTTGCTTTACGCCAACCAAGAAACCACATATAACTCCATGAAATCCAGAAAGTGGCATGTAACTAGAACATTCCAGAACAGTATAAGATAAAAAGAATTTGTTCAAGGCAGAATTGGAATCTGAGTCAATAGATAGCCTAGAAAACAAGTAACTTCAAGAGCCTAAGAGGGAGAGGGAGTCCCCAAATACAATACTCTGGTAAAATTTTATTAATATGTGTGTTTTAGCTGACACACTGAACCAACATTTTCTATCGCCAAAAGAGCATAAGTGATCAAACATCAAATGGGCCTCCGTTTAGCTTTGAATTTTAAAATTGGAGAGCCAAACTGCAGCACAAAATGTGGACAAGGGAAAAATCTAATAGACTGAAAGAATAAAAAGAGACAAAACAGCATACGCAACAGAGAAAATATCATCTTAGATTGTAATGGATTTGATATACATACAGGTAATTCTCCAGCCTTGTAATGTAGTATAAGGCAATAGCAGTGATGAATACACAGACTGAAGTTAGAAAATTAACCACAAAGATGAACTTAAAGAATTCCCTGGAACCCCATATTGGTTCAAGCAGCTTCCCAATAAACAAAAGACTGAAAGTGCTGACCACTACCTATAAAAAAGTATAAACTATGTTAATTGCAATGTTCTTAAAGCCAAACGATACGACTCAGGTAATACAATGAATGGTAGTGAGTTCAAAAACAGCAAGTGCATACCCCGTATACAGATTGTTCAACATAACCAGCTGTAATGAGATTCCAGGCAAATGGGATTGTCCTGCAAAATGAACCAACAGGAAAATATTGTTAAAAAAAAATTGAAATATCAACAGTGTGCTACATAACCATACATATATGGAGAATTGAACTAGCTCGGTGGCAAAATAAGCTTTGCATATCATTTTTAGACAATTGGTAGGACCTAGTCTCTCTCATTATTAAAAAGTGCTTTGGATTAGAATGGAAATTTCTTAATATTGTTTCATTCAAGTAAGTTTTTGTGAAAATTCCCCTTTTCATTTCAAATTGACAGTTAAGACCTGATACTTATTTATAACATGTTCAATTTCAAATATGAGAATGCTAAGGTGGATGATTGGACACACGAGAAAGGATAGGAAACAAAATGATAGTATATGAGAAAATATTAGAATAGCACCTATAGTGAAAAAGATAACTAAAAATCCTCTAAGGTGGCTTGGTCATGTGCATAGAAGACCTTTGAAGGCACCACTAAGGAAAGTGGATTGTATGATTCTTAATCTGGTAAAGAGGGACCAAGTGTTAGGGGACACAATCTAAACTCAGGTAATTGAAGAAAAAGGAAAGGATATTTTATTGATTGTGATAGGAATTAGGATTACAATAATCCCACAGAGCCAAAGCTCCTCTCAGAGAACGTTATGCTCCTCTCCTAAGTCTAGCCAAAGAACAACCCCCCTCCATTCCTCAAACTAACAATTTAAATAAAGAACAATGAAACTAACCTAATCTAATAACAGAACATCCTGACTGACTTATTCAAATTCAAAACAGGGGTGGTGATTTCAAAAGGTTGTCCAATGCGGAAATGCAGGAGAAAATAAGAAAGGGGGAGTGCTTTAGATGTGAGGAAAAATATGGGTCAAATCATATTTGTAAAAATAAACAGTTAAAAGTGATGTTGTTGGAGGAAATGGAGGGTATGAATGGGAGTGAGGAGGACAATTCAGAATGTGAGAAGAGGGGCAGAATTCAAGCAATTATCGTTAAATAGTATTGCTGGATTTACCTCCAAGAGGTCCCTTAAGGTGTGGGGTGAACTTGGTCAGGAAAGGGTGATAGTGTTGATTGATTGTGGGGCTACCCATAATTTCATTTCCCATGAATTGGTAAGAAATCAATTACCAGTTCAAGATACACCTTCTACGTGGTAGAGGTTGGTGATAGACATAAGGTTCGGGGTAAAGGTAAATGTGCTGAAGTTGCGATGATGATTCAAAGGTTGGTGATAGACATGACTTTTATTTGTTTGAATTCGGGGGGGTAGAGATGGTTTTGGGGCTGGAATGGTTGGCCGGATTAGGAGAAATCAGAGCAAATTTTGAGCAATTAACTCTGAAAATAAGGGTGGAAGGGCAGCTGGTCACATTGAAGGGGGAACCGGAGTTAACGAAGGGCAGAACTTCATTGAACTCTACGATTAAGACTATACAGCAAGAAGGGGAAGGTTTTTTGTTGGAGTGTCAATTGATCAGCAGCCTGAGGAAGCTACAGCAGAGTTACCTCTAGTATTGACTGCAGTTCTGCAACAATATGCTGAGCTCCGGCAAGGAAGAATGATCATGCCATACATCTTAAGGAGGGATCTGCTATTCCCAACATCAGGCCCAATAGGTATCCTCATTACCAAAAAACTGAAATTGAAAAGATGGTTAGTGAAATGCTGGTAGCTTGAATTATTAGACCGAGTTTGAGTCCCTATGCTAGTCCTATTATTTTGGTAAAGCAAAAAGATGGAAGTTGGAGGTTTTGTGTGGACTATATAGGGCCCTTAACAAGGTGACTATACCTAACAAATTCCCTATTCCCATTATTGATGAATTGCCTGATGAATTGGGTAATGCTGAAATTTTTTCAAAACTGGATTTGAGGTCCGGTTATCACCAAATCAGAATGAGAAATGAGGATATTGAGAAGACAGCATTTAGAACTCATGAGGGGCACTACGAGTTTGTAGTGATGCCTTTTGGGCTCACTAATGCGCCGTCAACCTTTCAATCTTTGATGAATGAAGTGCTAAGACCATTATTGAGGAAGTATGTATTGGTATTTTTTGATGATATTTTGATCTACAGCAGAAATGACGATGAGCATGCACAAAATTTGGCTACAGTAATGGATCTTCTACAGCAGAATGATTTAAAGGTGAATGGGAAAAAATGTATTATTGGCCAGTCTACTTTGGAATATTTGGGCCATATTTATTTCAGTGGATACTGTGGCTGCTGATCCAAAAAAATTAGAATCTATGTTGCTTTGGCATCAACCTAAAGATGTGAAGAGCTTGCGGCGATTTTTAAATTTGACGGGATATTATAGACGGTTTGTGCAGCAATATGGTCTCATTGCTAGACCATTGACTCAACTCTTAAAGAAGGATAGTTTCTTGTGGAGTGAGAAAGCTCAAGTTGCTTTTGATAGACTCAAGCACGCCATGACCTTACTGCCCACATTGGCTGTTCCAGATTTTTCTAAAACTTTTGTTTTAGAAACTGATGCTTCAAGAATGGGTTTGGGTGCGGTTTTGCTTCAAGATGGGAAGCCTCTTGCTTATTGGAGCACTGCTTTGTCAGACAGAAATCAGTGTATGAGAGAGAGTTGATGACAGTATTTAAAGCTGTGCAAAAGTGACGACATTATTTGTTGGGAAGTCATTTCATCATACGGACGGACCAAAAAAGTTTGAAATTTTTCACTGATCAACGGTTGTGGGCAGAGGAATAATTCTGTTGGATTTCGAAATTGTTTGGATCAATGTTGTTAAAATCGCGATTAAGATCGGGAGATCGCACGATTTTACGATCCTAAATGTCTCTCCCGATCTTGATCGCAATGGGGATCTCAAATGTGGAAAGATCGATCGAGATCCCGATCTTTTCTCATAAGATCGTAGGATCGGAGATCCGATCCGATCCTAGGCGCAGCTTTCTGGATCAGATTCTGGCCTTGGAGCTTTTGGGTTGGGCTTTTATGGGCTGGGCTTCCGGGTCGGGTTTTTCTGACCCAGTTTTTAAAAATAGATGTAGGGTTATTTTTTCCCCAAATTTTTCCTATTCTCTCATCTTCTCTCTTTCGTGCAACTGCGACCCATTGTCTCATCTTTTCCCTTGTGACCCATTCCCTTATCTTCTCTCTTGCGACCCATTTCCTCATTTTTTCTCTTGCGACGCCACTCTCTCATCTCTCTTTGGTGTGAGTGACACAGTCTCTCATCTTCTCTCTTCTGTGCTGCGACCCAAGGTGGTGTATTTGTTGGCTGTTTGTTGTTGGTTGGTGCTTGCTGTTCTGGTTTGCTATTGGTTTTGTGTTGGTCACTATTTGCTGTTCTGATTTGCTCTTCCTATTGGTTTCGTGTTGATTGGTGCTTGCTGGTTGACTATTCTGGTTTGCTGCTCTGTTTCCCAATTCTCCGTGGGTGTGGCTGGTTCTATTTGGGTGAGTTTTTCTCAGTTTTCTGTGGGTGGATCTGCGTGGGTCTCAGTTTTTTATTTCCCCTCTGTTTTTGTTCCTTCGTTGCTGCATGGCGGATAATATTAGAAAGGAAGTTGGTGGCTGTGGAAAAGGAAAGGGAATTCAATTAAGTGGAGCTGGAGCTATAGGGAGTGGTATTGTTGGTGGAAGTGGAAGTTTAAGATCAAAATCAAATAATACTGCTGCAAATTATAAGACAGCAGAAGAGAAAAAGGCTTTATTGGACACCTTGTGCTACACATTGCATTGATCTTATGTTGGAGGATTTTGAGAAGAAGATACAGTTATGTAAAGAAACTATTGCAAACGAAAAAAAAATCATAACTTACATCTATTATAGAACTGGTCTTATATCTTTATTGCATACCTTTACTCAAGGTACAAATTTAATTAGACCTGCAGCTACACGTTTTTCAACTTCTTACTGGACTTTGGGATGCTTGAATGACAATAAAGGATCATTATTGAGAATGTTTACATTCAAAGAATGGAAGGATAGTAAGTTTGTCAAAACGAAGGATGGAATAGTTGTAGAAAATCTAGTCATAAATAAGGAGTCTTGGAAAGATATTCTGAATTGTTTAAAGGGTGCTTATCCCTTAATTAAAGTGTTGCATTTGGTGAATTCAGAGGACAAGCCAGCCATGGGTTTTATTTATGAGAAAATGAATCGAGCCAAGAAAAAAATTCAAACAAACTTCAATGCTGTTAAAAAAAAGTATATTAGACTCTAGTTTAATTTGATAATTTATAACTTTGGTTTAAAAAAATTATTTTTTTTTTCATTTTTTAATCTCTAATTTCATGCCACTCTGGGAGATAATTGATGAAAGATGGGACAACCAATTGCATAGACCTCTGCATGCTGCAGGCTACTACCTTAACCCAATTTTGCATTATGCTCCAAATTTTTAAGCTAATTTTGAAGTTAAGCGTGGATTATATGAGTATTTAGAAAGAATGGTAGAAAATATGGATGAAATGAATAAGATTGATGGTCAACTGGAGTATTTCAAAGCTAAAAAAATATATTTTGGTACAAAATTAGCAATTACTGGAATGAAAGTGAAAATTCCAGCACAATGGTGGGAATTTTATGGTGGAGAACATCAAGAGTTACAAAAAATTGTCATTCGTGTATTGAACTTGACATACAGCTCATCTGGTTGTGAGCGTAATTGGAATGCTTTTGAAATGGTAAGTTATTTCTTAAAACTACCAAGTGGACTACGTTAATTATTGTGTTAAATTATTAATTAATATTGTTGATATTTAGGTTCACACCAAGAAAAGAATCGTTTAAAGCAAAAAACGATGAATGATATTGTATATGTCATGGCAAACTAAAAATTAGGCAATTGTATCATGAGGAGGAAAAAGTCTAACTTTGACATTGAGGATGTTGCTTCTAATGATAATTGGATTGTAGAAGAGGAGAATAAGCTAATATCATATATGGATTTAGATGAGAACTTGATTCAAGATGGAAAAGCAAACAGTAGTGTTGGTAGTGCAAGTACACCTATGGATGATTTGGACCTTCCACCTGCTGATGATGTGAGCCTAAGGTGGATGATATTGATAAAGATGACTATAGAGGATGATTATCTTGATTGGAGCTTACAAAATTTATTGTAATAGATTAGTACTAGTTTGACTAATTATGTGTTGTATTGGATCTAGAATTTATGACTTTTAAGTTATGCTTAATTAAATTATGTGATTTAGATGTTAATTTCTTTATATGATATTTTTTATGCTTATATATATGTTTAAGTATAGTTTTACATGTTTAATAGGATCTTAAGATTTATTTTACGATCCCACGATTTACAATTTTTGCCCCCCTCCCCCAATGGAGTCTGTGTTTGGCTTGGGCTGAATTTTGGTTCAACACAAACTATAACGCATCTAGTAAAATTGACTCCCTTTTTTGGGCTTTATATGGAATTGACCCCCCAACGCTTTTAAGGGAGACAATGATTCCTTCTCGAATGGAAGAAGTGAATCAGCTGCTGCAAAGCCATGATGAGTTGTTGGTTGAATCAGCTGCTGCAAAATGACGAGCACAACATCCCCAAGGGCCCTTAATTTCACATACTTCAAATCTAGAGACAAGTAGTTATTGTAATAATTGAAGAAGACATTGTAAAAGCAGCATAAATAAACTAACCAAAGAACTAAAAAATGTTCAAGCCAGTCTTACGAATATTAGGTTGCCTTAATGACTTAACATTACACATCCTAGAACCCATCTTTCCCCTTCAACTACAAACATAAGGTGTATGATGATTCCAAGCACAGTCAATCCTCAAGATCCTCCATCAGCTAATGCAAGTCTCCAAATACAAGCCCATGAAGGTGAGCCTCACTGTGCCACCTACATCCTTGATATTGCCTAGTCCTTCTACACCTTACAAGATGGGGATAATATTGAGGATAAAACAGAAGCATGACAACCAAAACCCAAGCTACATACATGATGCTAGATGTCCTTATCAAGCCCAGCTTGCTCCCAAGATCCATCCTAAGTTTCTAGAGAAACTAGAGTCTGTACCTATCTTTAATTGTAAATTTTGATCACTCAACTGATATAGTCAAATATTAATGAGAAATTATCAATATTTGCTTTACAAACAGTATACATTAATGTAAAACGAAAAAATTATTATGTCAACATATCTAAGCCATATTGAACCTTGAATTTTTAAAAATTCCCCATATCTCCATATCAATGTTGCACGTGGAATCATACTAGTATTGTATTAAGTATCTAGGCTTCATATGGAGGGATCATCATTCGATCACCACATAAGATAACGAAAACTCATTTTCACAAGCTGGGACACCATAACTATGACAATTCAAGCTGGGTGACCCATGAGTGAATGCTTTTCACCTAAATTGACCATCATCCTCATCCTCTCACTCAACCTGACTCTTTCAACCCATTGTCTCTCTATCTGTCTGTCATCATTACTGTCTTTTGTCAATCTCCATATGTCACAAATCTCTGTTCTTCATTAATCTCACCATGTCTCAACAACACACAGAGATACAGAAAATTACAAAAACCATAGGACAACATATATAATTAATCTAAAATTAACCTAAATAAATTCTGAAATCCTAAGAGAGGATTCATGTGTTGTCAATTTTAGATCCACAGCCCAAGCCCCATTTCTCAGCCGATCTCTGTTAGAAGGTGAGATGTTCAGTTTTAGACTTGTGAGCATCATTAAGCTCTTACACCCATGACCACTTCACTGTTCTTTTCCAATCTCTGTTGAAGGGGTGAGTGGTTCAACTTTTGATCTCTGCTAGGTGACAAGGTGAATGATTTGAGTAGGATTTATCTTTACCTCTGTTTTGATACTGTGGAAATGTCATCAAATGGGACTGGTGGTAGTGTAGGTGAAGTCACAGCAGATGGCTGCTCTGGTGTAGCTGCTGCTTTCTTTTATCGTTTTAGTTTTTTATGTGTTGTCAAAAACTTATGTCACTTATATTTGGAGTCGTTAAGTTGTAACTTAAGCTTAAGTTTTGAGTTGCTAGTTGTATGAGTTGTGAACATCTTCTAGTGTTTTCAATTTTAGTTATATGTACTTGTGAGTTAAAAACTATTTTTCAAACCTGATATTTTACATGCACGTAGTTGGAATATAATTTTGGACATTAGGTAGGATCTCACAATCTATGTTACAATCAAGCGGTTGAAGCCCCCCCCCCCCCCCCCACCAACCAGAAACTATGAAATATTGGAGTCACAAATGTTTAAAAGTGGTAGAGAGTTTAGCATTTAATGTAAAGCAAAGAGATCAAACAATAGCTATAAATCAAATATACACTCTACGCATCCTGTCAAGCCCTCTGTCCCCATTTCTAACCAAAGTCACAAAATTCAATCTTCAAATAGTCCCACATTCCTATTATTTACCAATAAGCAAAGTTGATGAGCAAAACAAAAACAAAGAGAAGCCAATGGCATTGACACAACAAAAGAAACTACAGAGAACTACTTCAAATTCTCTACTCAAGAAATAAAGCAATTATTGCATTCCTACAAACACGGGAATTGAAAACAAAGAATTAGCAGTAAATAAGCAGTCATCAATGAAGGAATTTGTTGAAAAGCCCGAAATATTACTTCAGAATGAAGGAAATGCACGTACCTAGCGGGAATAAGGGCAAGATAGGTAACAGCTGAAGGGAAAAATTGAACGGTAATGTGAGTACCAACCAGCACAACCGCAAGGCCTTTGCATAACCGACTGAAGCCAGAGAAGGGGTTCGTTCCCTGCACCAGAAATAATGAGTGCAATTTCGAGAAGTTTCTAGAATCGAAGATCTGATAACAGTTCAGTTACCCCCGAAATTACTGGCGTGCTCATGGACTCGGCGGTAATCCCAATCTGAGAGCGGAAAATGAAGAACAAGATCTGATCTGTCTGGGCTTTCGTTTAAAGAGAAGACGTGAGAAAAAAGAGAGCAACACGCTTTTAAGGTCCTTATGGTGGACCCCTGCCACACAGGATCTGATCTTCAGACGTTGGGATTCATTGCACTCACTCTTTCCTACTGTGACACCAGCCACCCACCGATAAATCCAATGGCTTATATTGCATCCTTTCATTAAAAATAAATAAATTTATGTTGCCACCTCTACCATCTAGAATATATAATTTTATTTAAAATTAGTAATTTAAATTATTTTTTAAGAAATTGAATGAAATTATATTTAAAATAATAATAATTTATTTTAAATTTCAAATTTTAATAAAACTATTGATCATAATAAATTTAAAAATAAATTAAATATATTAAATATGCTTAATTAATACACAAGTTTATTTATTTTTTTAAATAAATTATATTTTAAATATAAAAGTATATATTTAAAAATTATAATATGCTTTTTATATATTTTATTAATTTAAAATTTTTATCATATTTATAAATTTATAGTAATTATGGATTAATAGATAAAAGTAAATAAATAAATAAAATATATTTTTTTATTTTTATAATTTAATTAAATGATATTAAATATAATTTTAATATAAATACATTAGAAAACATTTAGTTATGAGTATAAATAAAAGTATATTAATTTTTTTATTGTTATAAATAATAAATTAGTTTACAAAAATTATCTAATGTATTTTCTTAATTTTAAGTTTAGTAATCGATGAATACATAAACATAAAAAATAACAATTAAAAATTAAATTAAAGAAAAAGTGAGAGTAAAATTAAATCACTTAGAATTTATTAATTTCAAAATTTTAAAATATATATTTCATATTGTTGGGTAGTCTAATAAAATTATAGGTCATAATAAATTTTTAAAAAATAAATATGTTACATAATTTATTAAAAATATCATTACATTGCATGTGCATTTCACAAGTTTGCTTATATTTTTTATTCAATTATTTTATGTAAAAATAATTTTAAATATAAAAATATTTGAAAATTTTTGTAATATATTTTTTATTAATTTGAAAATAAATTAGATTACAAAACTATCATGCATGTAAATTCATAATATTAAATATATAATTTATTTTAATTTTATTTTTTTAGTTATTGATTAATTGATAAAAATAAATTAATAAATTTACAATGCTAAATTAGAAGAAACATATATAAGTTAAGTTAAAAATAAATAAAGAAAATATATGTTACTTTACAATTGTCATAATTATTTTAACAGAATAATACTAAATATGATTTCAATATAAATACATTAAAATTTATACAATAATTTTTATTCTTATGAAAAAAAATATATATATATATATATATACACACTAATATAATGTATGTTTTTAATTTTAAAGTTTAGTTCTTGATAAATATATAAACATCGAAAGATAATAATAAAAATATATATTAAAAGAAATATAAAAGTAAAATAAATAATATAAAATTTATTAATTTTAAAAATTAAAATATTATATATATATATATATATATATATATATTATTTGATGATCGAATAATATTATTGATCACTATATATTTTAAAAATAAATTACAAACGGTAAATAATTTATTAAATATGATAAAATTATGTAATATAAGTTATAAAATTTAAATAAATAATCTTTACCCTTTGGTCTATGAATTTGTTTTTATTTTTTTAACTATAATTACAATTTCAAATTACTAATAAAAATTTTCAAAAATGATTAAATAATACTTTTTAAAAATAACTAGTCATATTAAAAAAATAATATAAATAAAAATATAAAATAAAACAATTAAGTTCAAAAAAATTAAAAATAAATTTATTTTGTTAACGTCATAATTTTATTAACATAATAATAAATATGATTTTAATATAAATACATACAAAACTATATTCTAATGTCCCAAAAAATTATTGTTATAAAAGTAAAATCAGTTTAAAAAATGTCACACGTAAAAATTAATTATAATGTAATATATATTCTTAATTTTTAAATTTAATTTTTAGTTAATAGATAAAAATATTTTAAAAATTTTAAATTAAAAAATAACAATATGAAATTTAGTTTTTTTGAAATTCGATTAAATTATTTTATATTATTAGATAACTTAATAGAACTATTACTGATTAACTTTATAAAAAAAAAAATCAGTTTTAGTAAATAATTAATTCAATATAACAAAGTTACGTAACTAGAGTCATAATTTAAATAATAAACTTATTAGTATATTTTATACATTTGTTTAGAATTTTTAACTAAATTTAATATAGCTTTTTAGACATTTATCATGTATCATCCCTATTTTTGTTTTTAAATTATTTAATTTTAAGATATATGATATCATATATTATATTAAAAAAATTACATTTTTCTTGATTTTTATGTATTACCTATATTTTCATTTATAACTTAAGAATGAATTGTAAATCTATAAAAAGATTTGATTTTTCTAGTTTGAAGCATTAGAACATGAAATGTTAATAAATAAATATATTTTGATATGATAATATTTAAAATATTAAAAAAATTATTTTTATAACATTTTAAATTCTAATTCTTATTTTTTTTTATTTTATATTTTTTTCTCATCGTAAAGATTTAGACTTTATATTAATTAAATTTTAAAAGTATAGTAACTTAAAAGTAAAGAGCTCGTGAATCCTAACTCTAAGATTTCTTTCTTTTTTTTTCTTTTATGAAAACAAGCATCGCGGCGCTGATAGGATTTAAGACTTGTTATGGTCACTATGAGTACCTAGTTATACCATTTGGTGTAACCAATATCCTGGTCGTGCTCATAGATTACATGAATAGAACCTTTATGAGCTTTTGGATAAGTTTGTTGTGGTGTTTATCGATGATATTTTGATTTACTCCAAAACTCGTGAAGAACATGCTGAGCATTTAAGGATTGATCTGTAAATATTAAGGTGAAGGCGATAGCTCAATGGCCAAGGCCTACTACCCTAACGGAAATCTGTAGTTTTCTAGGATTAGCCAGCTATAATAGGAAATTCATTGAAGGATTTTCTAAAATACCATTTTTCTTAATGAAACAGATCAAAAAGGGAAAATACTTTGAATGAACAGAAGTGTGTGAGGTTAGTTTTCAAAAGTTAAAGGAAAAATTGACATCAGCTCTCGTGTTGATTCTACCTAATCTAGAATAGAAATTTGAAGAATATTATGATGCATCGAGATAAGGTCTTGGATGTGTTCTAATGCAAAATAGAAGAGTAGTTGCTTATGCTTCGAGACAATTGCGTACTCATGAAGTTAACTACCTTACCTATGTAACGCCCCAATTTGCGCAAATTAGTTAATAGTTTTTAGAATTTAATTATTTGCTAATTCTAGCTTATTAGCATCGGAAAAATTAGGTAGATGCTAATTTTTATTTTTTTAAAGGAATATTTAGCGATTTCTGAGTTTGGCATTTTAGAGTAACAACATGCAATATATTTGGTTCCAATATCGCCAAGAATTGCTCTGATTATGTTCAGCAGTACTGTCCCAAAATACCTTGAGAATCTTATCCGAAAAGTCACTTTTTGTCTTATTTAAATAAGTGTCAAATCATAATTATTCGCCTTGAAAAACGTGAGATTTTCTAATCATTACAAAGATTTAGTAATAATTTCTTAGGTATCAAAATTGTTGCACGAAATTCCGTGAGATCTAGCAATCATTACTCGGAGATTTCCAAATCTAGTATCGGCCACTAGATTTTCATGCAAACAAACCTTGTCCCTCATTTTACAAACATCGTGGTTGCCCAAATATTCCGAAATCTAGTATTGGCCACTAGAATTCCATGCACAAGATTTTGTCTCCCGATTTACCAGCAAAATCTCTTTAGAACATTCTCTTGTCTTCCAAATTGCCGACACCATAATTATTCTAACCAATCACATTCTCTTGAATTTAGCACCACATCAAAAGTCTCGTCCACATGTCAACCTAGTCATGTCAATTTTTCCTGTCCAATCAAATTTCATGCATTTGCTGTCCAAATCTTACCTTTGGAATTTTGTGCCAATTTTTGGAATTTGTGGCATCCAAACCGTGTGCATGTAGCCTAGGTTGTTCCATGCATTTTGCTTGCTGAAATTGCACAAACCTTACTTGTAAGTTTGCCTAAAAATCCACTATTCATGCACAAAAAATCGTGACACCTTTCTTGCACCCTTGCACCAATTTCACTTCAATTTCACGTCAATTTTGCACCAATTAAAGCATGTGCAGTTTTTAAATTTTGGAGTCTTGCCAAGTATGCCAAACGTGGGAAGCTTAGTGGCAATTAATCACTCAAAGCCTAGAACCTTCATATAAATTGTTCAATTTTACCATTTACCCATTTTGCAACTCCAAAAACCGAAAACTTTCTCTTTTCTCTCTACCTTGCTCTCTCACTTTTCTCTCACACTTCTCATTCTATCAAAATCTCAAATTCTCTCAAAATTCTCCCAAGAAACCGAGAGCTTCCAGCCCCTCAAACACCACCACTTCTTCATCCAAATCACTCAAACACTTCACATCACCATCACAAACTTCTTTCTCCATCATCCTTTCAATTTTCGTGTGGAAGGAACCAACTTTGGAGGAGAACCTTGAAGAACTTAGCTACTGTTTTCTCGATCCAACAAGCTTTCCTTGGAAATCCATCAATTTCATCCCCTTCTCCACTTCATCTCACGCCCAAAACTTAAGGCAAGGGGGAGTTCTCGTCTTTCACTTTGATTCTTGCTTTCCCTTGGTTAAATTGTGAAAAATTCTTAGAAAGTTTCCATTTTTATCTTCAATGATCTTGGATAAAAGGATTGAACCGTTTGCATGTTAAGTTTTTGTCTTGTACTCCATTTTGTCTCTTTGAAATTCTCAGTTTTATGCTTGGATGTACTGATTTCTTTCAAAGCTTGGAACTTTATTAAGTGCGTGTAATTTCTTCCTTGAACACATTTCAGTTTTGCCTTTGCATGTTTGAAATTCTTGATCCTTATGATGATCCACCTTCAA